AGGGCACCTCGTTTTATACTGTGATCGACGGAAGTGATTTCATGACGTTGCGTGAATGGTTTTATAGTGCACCTTCTTGTTTAAATGGGTTTTGTTTGTTCTGATAAGCAGTACAATAGCTGCTGGAGTCAACTAGTCTTCATAAGGCCATCATTATCAAAAGATCTTGCTCTGTTAGCTTTTAAAAAGAAGAATTATCAGTTTGGGCAAATGACTACATGTTCTTATGTAACTTATGACATAGACAAATTGCCATAAAACCTCATTTTGGTATGCCATTGGGTTTATAGGGAGAACCCAGTTCTCAGGGTTTTCAAGGGCTGAGAGACCCAAGACCTGAGATCCTGTGATGGCACTGGGTGACTAAGAACCTGTGAAAGTTTCATCCTTATCCCACATTCCTATAAAAAGTTATTTCAGTTTTTCTTAGGTCAAACTCAGTTGGGATATAGTATATTTATTTTTAATTTTTGCATTTAAATGATATTTCTCTCTTTTCATTCTTTTCTTTTTTTAGAGCAGAAGATTCTACATGATAACTTACAATTATACTGACTATGATTTTTGGTAATTTTTATTGTGTTTTTATTAATTGTTTTTATAAAGTTTTATTACATGTCAAACTCAATCACTGGTACTTTTATACAATGGGACGTGAAAGTGTCTCTGTTATACAGAGGTGTCCTTTATGTGGAGGTTATTTTATACAGTAAGGAATGTAATTGGTACACTAGGTGCTGTCCATTAGGAGGTGTACACTATAGAAAGTGTTTGTTAATAGAGGGTTTACTGTATTAATGGTATATTATGTATGTGTATTAATATTAGTATCAAATAACTCACCTCCACCAGTTAATAGTATTTCTTTTATTTGAGTGTGCCCTCTATGCTTAGCTATCTCTACTGCACTCTTTCCTTTCTCATCTTTACTGTTAGGATCAGCTCCTAACTGCAGTAGCATTGATACTTCAAAACTATCACCAGCTTTAACTGATTCATGAAGCGAAACGTCAAAATTATTATTGTCTTTTCTTCTGATAGGAATCGCTTTATTGTCAACAGCAATTTCTAATATTCCTAATCTACTCATTGAGTTTGTTTTGTTATTGATGGCATCAATAAGAGACTGTGATAGTGAGGTTGGTATTAACAGTGTAACAATGACTGAGCCTTTCTTGATCGAAATATAACTAAAAAGATTTTCGATTTCTGGTTCAAAGTAATATTGAAGGACACTTTTAAAGTTCTTGATTGTCATTTCGTCCCATCGTCCATTTAGTTTGATAACAATTGGTTTAGTGGTCAATGAATCTAAAAATGGAACTTCTTTATCAATAACTGATCGTATGTGCTTCAATTGTGATGATTCTGAGAATTTATCAACACTATCAATGTATTGAGTTAGTTCAGTTTGTGCATTTGAAAGGTAAGTGTCTGTCAAGTGTTTAAGTACACCACAACTGAAGAAATCATAATGAGGCTGAAGAGAATCAAATAATTCATCAACGTCACCAAACTTTAAGCTTGATACTGGGACTTTTAAATAAATAGCTGCTCTTCTAGCTACATCTTGAAGCTTTACTTTACCCATTTTAACCAGATCCTCAAACTCTCCTCTCATGTTGAAATCAAGAGATGCAAAACAAGAATGAAGATTTCCAATATTGGCAGCAACTTCACTCTTTGAACTGAGCTCAATGACAGTAGTAGGAGTAGATGATTGTGATCCAGTGATTGTTGGTTGTGGTGTGTGAGATTGTGCAGTGACATCCACTGGTTGAAGTGGTCCCTTACTGACTGATGGTTGCTGCTCTAGATTAGGATCAACATGACCACCTTTCATTTCTATTATAGATTTTTTAAATTAAAATATTAATGGTTTAGCTATATCTAATACTGTATATCTTACTTAAATTTTCCATTATTTTAGATGCCATGCTCTTTATTCCTACTTTCTGTAGTGAAGTAATGAGAGAAGAGAACACACTGTTAGGATTAGAATGAATTTGTATGATAGTTAATAATGAATTGATGAGTTGAGTAGCCCTTTCATTTGGAGTAGGATAAGAATTAGCAACAGCATTGTGTACGTCTT